ATCAAAACACAATTTATATAAATGAAAATTTTGATAGAGTTTTGGTATAACGATTACGCAAAACAAGGATTAACAAGGAGTAGAAATAGAGAATAATCTAAGGCGAGGCATTATCTCTTTCCTTAAGACAAATTGTCGTACTACGATGCTCATGGTAAATGTCACTTGTCTCCCAAGATACAATGGATTCACAACTTGTGGTAGTAACACTTCAAACCACAAGAAACCGACGAACTTTTAACTGAATTTTCCCTCTATAAAGGAAATGCATGAAAATGCTATGGAATTAAAAAGGAGATAATTGTAAGAGGAGAATGAATGCTCAATGCAATTGGTGTACCCAAAACTATGTCCATAGGGTCCTATTTATAGATGTATAAAAGGTGCAAATGAAGTAGTGTGGGTCAAAACATGCATCATTTCGAAAAGTGGCAACATTTCACTTCTTCCAATTTGGGTCCGCAATTATTCATTCATCCGAAATTGATTTCGAGATTCCAAATATACCACGACAATCTACTCGACGAGTAGAATAAGTTGGTCTATTTACTTTTGTAATTTGATCATCGAATCAAGTCTGAATATTTGGTCAAAGTTGATACGTAGTCTTACCTTTTCATTTTTAACTTTTACACACCTTTTCATTTTCCAATTTTTTGTTAATTATTTGAACCAATTCCTACAGAAAGGTGTGACGGGCATCCGTGGTTAAAAAATCAGGACCCTTACTTGTCCTCAGGCAAGTTCTTAATATAAACAACCATTGTCAGCTCCCCAATCTTGTCATTTAACTGTGAACTTACGTCTAGAAATTTCAAAAATTTGAATACTTTGTGAAGAAAAAACTTTTGGCAATTTGTAGGGGCCGACCCTTAAGATTACAAGTTTGACACATTTTGTTCTTTTTCAACCATAATCATTGAAGGGTATGGAATAGGCAAGCAACACCAACTATAAGATAGTTGAATATTTTCTTATATACTTTCTTACATTACAAAAAAGTATATTAGAGACAAGTAGCTACACAAAAGTTACACTACATACAATACCTTACAACCATAACCAACCTATTCATACTATTATTTATACTACATATTAAAGACCACACGGACATATTTATTATCCAGAAAAATCATTTGAACATAGGGAGATCATAGTAGTGGCCTCGAAGTACTCAATATAGTAATGAGATCCCACAAAGTGGTGGAAGCCTAGAAATTTTGGATACTTCATCCACGTGTGAACTTCGTTGACATACATACGATATCGACCATCTTCCGAAGTCATCCATTCGCCCAAGGTAAAGTTAAACATTGCATTGGATATTGACATTGCATTGGATGATGCTTGATATTATTGATTATACACCAAATTGTTGTAATTGACTAATGAGCTCATATATTGTTATTCTCAACTTGTGTGCATGGGGTAGAATTGAACATTTATAATTGAAGGCCATTTTTCTCCTTACTTATTTCAAAAGGGGTGGTTATGGTATAGATTATTCGCTGAATAAATATATTCAAAATATATTGTAGATGATCATTATCAAATACATTGACTTTATCTCGGGCGAATGGATAATTTCGGAAGATGGTTGCTATTGCATGTATGTCAAAGAAGTTCACATGTGGATGACGTATCCAGAATTTCTGGGCTCCCACCACTTTGTGGGATCCCATTACTATATTGACTACTTCAAGGCCACCACTATGATTTACATATTTTCATATAGTGTTCCTGGAGAATAAATAGTCGTGATCTTTGATATGTAGTATACATAATAGTACGAATAGGTTGGTTATGGTTGTATGGTATGGAACATAGTGCAACTTTTACATAGCTACTAATTTCTAATATGTTTTTTGCAATGTAACAAAGGATATAAGGGGGAATGTGTTCGGGAGCTATAACCAAAATATATATATATAATGTATATATACTTATTCAGCGAGTAATCTATACCATAATCCCTCTCCTCCCTTTTTTCTAAAATAAGTAAGGAAAACAATGGGCCCCAATTATAGATGATCAATTCTACCCGTGCGCACAAATTGAGAATAACAATATATGAGCTCATTAGTCAATTACACCAATTTGGAGTATAATCAATAATATTGAGCAATACACGATGCAATATCAATGAGTGGAATCTTGAAGCTATAATCAATTTGAAAGGCAAGAAGTAATTCAATAAAGTAATTGTAATAAATATTTTTGGAATAAAAATAGGCATATATTACTCACCTTCAAGTTGCAAAACAATAAAAGTGCTTTCTTTGTGAAGTTACTTGTCTTTGACTTTCAAATTGTTGTGTGTGTTCATTTTCTCTCATTCTCCCCTATTTATAATAGTAATTGAGAATTGAATTAATAATTAATTTATTTTCCCTAATAATTATTTTGCCACCTTTTACCCTTTTATGCCATTGGTCATTTCAGTATTTAGAGTGGCAAGATAGTATGTGTAGGTTAGTCACCTCGTTTTCCTTAATTTTTTCACATGGTTTTTAACCAAGATCTTAATTCAATACTTTTCATAATGTTATAATATCATTAACATAACTTCTTACTATGTTAAGTGAAAAGTACATCACAATAGAAAGTATGAATATGCACGATAAATTTGCTGAAGTTTTGGGATGTCACAAATGTGATTTCTTTGTGAAGTTACTTGTCTTTGATTTTCAAATTGTTATGTGTTTTCCTTTTCTCTCATTCTCCTCTATTTATAGTAGTAATTGAGAATTGAATTAATAATTAATTTATTTTTCTCTAATCATTATTTTGCTACCTTTTACCCTTTTATGTCATTTGTCATTTTAGTATTTAGAGTGGCAAGGTCGTATGTTTAAGTTAGCCACCTCATTCCCCTTAATTTTTTTTCACATGGTTTTCAACCAAGATCTTAATTCAATTCTTTTCATAAAGTTATAATATCATTAACATTAACTTTTTACTATGTTACATGAAATGTACATCACAATAGAAAATATGAATATGCATGAAAAATTTGTTAAAGTTTTGGGATGTCACAACCATACTACAATGTCAGAATACTTGACGTAATGGTTGACATAATATCACATGACATTTTATTATTAGACTGTTTAAAATGGTTGACATAATACTTAGCATAATGGTTGACATAATACTTGACATAATGATCGACATAATATTACATGACACTTTAGAAGAATAATGCTACTTTGATAGAAGAAAACTAATAGAAACGGTACTAGAATCCTAATTGGCGTGAAGTGATTTGATGGAAAAAATGATTGTGTTTTAAACAGTTCAATAATAGAGTGACATATAATATTATGTCAAAACACTGTAACATGTTTTGTATTAGAATAGAACTTGTGTTTAAAAAACTAATATTTATCCTCACAAAAGTACATTTTTGCTCTTCTTTTTTTTTAATAACAAAATAATATTCTAGCAACATTGACAAACCTTCAAATATAAAATCTATTTTTTAACTGTCTTGTCTCTACAAAAGCTGGACACTACTATTTTAAAAAAAATAAAAAAATAAAAAATAATTGTCAACCATTTTTTAAAAACATGTTCTCAAGTTTTAAGGCGTCACTTCAATTTATTTATAATAAATCAAAAATCAACTCAGCTATAACAAAAATTATTTAGAAGCAAAACTTATTTTGAAAGAGCCAATCACTAATTAAAATAATGAAACTACAAACATTTATTACAATTATAATTCATCAAATTGAACACAACTACAATACATATTTATTAAAAGAAAAACACTTATTTTGTGTTATTTGATGTTAGTTTGCAAGTTAATACCTTAAATTGTCCTATTATAAATTTTTGAAGTTGTTTATGGTTTTTTACTGGTAGATATTTTTATCATTTAAAGGTTTGTACTTATTTTTCGAGTTTTCGTGACTTAACACTTCAAAATGCCTCGTCTCACAAATGAAAAATTCCTCAATATCTTATTTACCGTTTTAAACATTGGTTGCATCAGAATACAAACTTTCTTCTCTTACCTGAATTTCCCAGTAAAACCAGTTTTTTCAGTGATGTTGTTCATGATCGGAGACGTTGAATGTGTTCGTTTTCACGAGCTAAAGTAAGTTCATGCAGAATCAAGTGCATTTTGTTGGGAAAAACAACAATTTCAATCAAATGATATGCATCACTCTGCCTTTTCAGAAGATATGCTTCATTTTTACATCTTTTTCTCCTTGTCTTTTTATCCATTGGTGGATTCAAGAATCCAGGTGAACATGACCGACCAGCCGACTGTTGAGTGGCCGGCAAATGGGAGGAGGAGGATTACAGAACCTCGTCTCCTGGCTCACTGAAGACGATATATTTGGACACCACTTGAAAGGGCTAGATTGTTGTCCCTTTGTACAGATAAGAAAGTGCCATTATATTTGATTGGAGAGGGCTCGAGGACCCACAAGGTTGGACGCATCTGAAATCCAAAAAATATCGACTCTTCATTTTGTAACACCAAATCAAAAGGTAGAATTCTCCTCACCATATAAATACAAAACTACTAAGCCGGTACTGTAGCGAAAATGATGACACAAGGGACATTTTCAACAGGTAAAACAAGATACAAGTTCAGCAGTGAAGAGGTTCACAAGAAAGACAAGAGTATCATCAATCATGTTGGATGGGCCACAAAACAAATCATACAAGCCAATAAACGTCCATTGCATTGCCAAACTATCTGCAGCCACTCCTACAATCATCAACGACAAATTTATTGGCCTCATTCGGATATAAAATCAGGGTAAGTTTTGAGATTTTTTTTGCTGCTGCGTTCGGCGTTAATGATTATCATCATCAATGAAGATTACTACCAATTCCCTCCTTAATCCCAACTCTTTCAATCCATTCATTTGTGCCAACTTCACATTTCCCAGAAAGAGACACAATTAACTTAGGATCAGGATACATAACTGTGGAAAAATTGAAGATATCCATCTAATAATTCAAGTAAAACTCAAGCAGCACAACAAGCAAAGCCATGTGCAGGAATTATTTGACTAAATAATAATGCAACAATCCATAAAAACAAGACATTATAGGTAGCAAAAAGAGACGATGACAGATTTTCACAGATAAAAATGCAGTCTACTCGAAACCACGGACATCAATTATTCAACTATTTTATGGAGAATCTTATCGGAAACTGTTCACAGTAACCATTGGCCGTAAACGTGGGGTCCAACACCTGCTGAGATAGTAGAATATACAGAACAAAGGCTAAAATGCCCAAAATATACCTTAATGGTTGTGAAGGGAAAACTATGCAGAATTTACAGAATATTTGCATAAAAGTACTCATCATGCCGTATGTGGAAGATTGACAGCTCTATTCAGTCTGTCAAGAATACCACTAGCCTTTCTCTTGGCTCTTGAAGTACCGTTTTGAGCGAGCCGAGAGATTGTTCCATAAGTACTGTCTTCCACCCTCATCTCCTTCCATTTGGATGGATCACTATAACATATGGTATAAAGGATAGCAATGCAATTCTCCTTGTTGCGAGGACAAGAGGTCTCTCGAATTATACGAAGCAAGCATGGAACAGCCCCAAGCTCTCCCATTTCTTCAATAGCCTTTTGATTAGTTGAAAGCATAGCAAGGATGGACAGTAATTCACCAACATGCATTCCATTCATGATCTTTTTCATGATCACTCTCACTGCACCATCTCGAACAGCTCTTGACTTATTCTCGTGAATAAGACATAGATTAAAGATAGCTGAAGCAACATCTTTTATTGCTAAAGGGTGCCCCTCATCTAATAGGTTAATGAGGGGTTTCAAGGCATCTGATTTTCCAATGAGGACCTTATTTGAGTCAACAGCCGATAATGTGAAAAGTGTGGCAGCTGCATTGCTCCTTGTTTCGATTGTTCCCAGTCTTAATGCATCCATAAGAAGAGGAAGAACAATTGGTGTTTCTACAACGAGCTTTTTATTGTTGTCATGAATTGAGAGATTCAAAAGTGTTGTTATTAAATCTTCTTGCAGGTCTGGATGAACACTGTTTCTTGACCTGCTTTGAGCAATTGGAGAAAGCAACTGAGGTATGGCATCAACAGATTCACCAAAAAGTGCCCGGATAGATGGCATTTTTTTCGTCAACTGCCGCAACTCTTTTGCAGCTTCCTTTTGAGCAGATAACGTTGAAGACATTTTCCTTAGCAGAGAAAGGAAATGTTCTCGATCCGCTTCAGTTAATACATCCTCATCGGAATACTGGACAGGTTCCGGCAATTCAATCCCATGATTTTTGCACCCTTGTAATATCATTTCCTGAATCAAGTGGTTAGGTGTAAGATTAGTGTGAGAGAGTACTTGTTGCGTTCGCGGGCATATCCTGTTCCCAGCTTTCAACCATTTTTGGATAAATGGTCTATCATAAGTCTGCAAAATTAATTTTAAAAAAAAAAATGTTCATAATGCCCCCAAAAACAAATCTTGAGACAGGAAATGCAAGGTGCATTATGCTAATAAACTGGCATGAAATTGGTTAAAAATCACATCTATAGAATACTAAAAATCCCAGAAATAGCATACAGACCATTTACAGATTTCTCAGCTCTAAAACCAAAATAAAATGCAGAAGAATAAAAAATATTTTGATAACAGACATTTACTTTACATTATAAACATAGATTAGTAAAAAAAGTATTTTCTCCTCATAATGTTATGTTTTAGTTTCCAGAAAGCTCCAGAAGGGGGAGTGGGGGTGGGGTGGGGATCCCTATAAATATCAAATTCAATTTGGAGGACCAAACCAGCTCATAATTCAGTGACCAAATTATATGTCACTTACATTATCGTCAATTCAATAAACAAATCATAAATGTATTTCAAAAATAAATCTGAATTGTGAAAATAAAATTACGAACCTGACCAGATGCAACAATAACCGGATCCCTCATGAGTTCCTTGGAAAGTGGGCAATTAAACTCCTCTGGAATCTTCTCTGAAATTGTATCATGATGATGAGGATGAACCTTCGAGGAGGATAATGATTGTTTTACCTTCAATTCCTTTAAAGCACACAACATTTGCTGGGCCCTATCAATTGCCCCTACATTAACATCATCCTCATCTACAATTGCCTTCACTAACTTCTGCAGTTCCCTCTTCAACTCCATCGCCTTGGCTGCCATTCCCGGATCCCCTTCAAATAGCCCACTCATTGTCATCAGCAGAATTTTCTCCCCCTTTGATCCCTAATCACAACACTCGTAATGGGTTTTTCCTTTCACTATTTCTTTTGAAATTACTCGCTTTCTTTTTCATTGATGAGGAAGCTTTTGGGGCTCTATAAGTGAATAGATTTTTCACACGCCGCACACAGTTGAGCGTTTAATTGGAATGTCCGTTTACGGATTTCCGTGTGGAATGAGAATAATATGGGGAGGCGAGATGGGCGTTGTGTACGGTGAGTGTCGTGCTATTAGGGGTCCACTGAGAAATCCATGGCCAGACAGCTGGCAGCTACGCGTTCAGGCGTGTTGAGGGTTTGGTATTTAGTGCACGTGAGAGGGGATCGATCATGTATGGAGGGGTTCATCTTTAGGAGCATGGAGCACCAATGGACATGGTCAGGTTCAAAAATCTTGAAAATCGGATTATGAAAGGGGGATGCATTCAGAGTGAAGACTATCGAATAGTTATAGTTGTCCTACGTAATATATACATGACAATTTACGACCCATCAAACAACAAATTATCATGTGTATATCACTTTAGATGACAATTTTCATTATGAACGACATTATTCATTGTGAAAATAGATCGAAAAGGGTGTGTTTGATCCCTATTTAGGATAATGAATTTTGCAATAATGATTATTTAGATAATTTGTAGTTAAAAAGTAAAAAAAGTAACTTACATTTAAAATTATTTACAAGAAGAATGTTAGTTAAAATAAGTTAGAAAAAAAATGAGTTTTTTAAAAGGTAAAATTACAGGGATTGAGGACCCGTTTTGGTTAGTATTCCAATTTTCAATTTTCAATTTTAAATTCATTTTTAATTTCTGTTATGAGGGTTTGTTTTGACCCATCAAACAACAAATTATCATGTGTATATCACTTTAGATGACAATTTTCATTATGAACGACATTATTCATTGTGAAAATAGATCGAAAAGGGTGTGTTTGATCCCTATTTAGGATAATGAATTTTGCAATAATGATTATTTAGATAATTTGTAGTTAAAAAGTAAAAAAAGTAACTTACATTTAAAATTATTTACAAGAAGAATGTCAGTTAAAATAAGTTAGAAAAAAAAAATGAGTTTTTTAAAAGGTAAAATTACAGGGATTGAGGACCCGTTTTGGTTAGTATTCCAATTTTCAATTTTCAATTTTAAATTCATTTTTAATTTCTGTTATGAGGGTTTGTTTTAAAATTTCAAAAAAAAATTTGTCATTTTGAAAAATTATTTTATAACATTTTATTACATTACATTTGGTTAATCAATAATAATAGAATAGTTTTATGTTAATAAATTATCAAGTAATATATATATATATATATTTTTTAAGGTTAACAAAATATATTTTTTCACTACAAAAATAAAATAAGAATTGATGCTACCAAAAAATATACCTGAAAGATCTCGAACTTGATGATCGAATTTCGAATTTTGATGAACACGAACGGTCTTTGAATACCTGCAACAAAGGTAACGAGGTGAGTGTCTGTCGCCCCTCCGATGCTTAAATCAGAAAGAGAATTATATACGTGAGACTATAAACTGGAGATAATGAAAAACGTATCTCAAGAATGAGCACATGTTGTGTATTTATAGGTGTTAATGATGGAATCCTAGAAGAACTTATTCTTTTGCGGTCCTTATCCTCGTAGGATAAGGAGTTAGTGTTTTATTCCAAGTGTTCAAACATTGTTTGAGTCGAAGAAGGAGTCTGACAGGGTAAGGGTTGTAATCAAAGTAAGATTAGTGTTCTCATAGATCGTATAGAAGGGCTGACGAGTCGACATGCATACCCCGACCTCAAATGTCCGACCTTGTTTTGGTAGTTTTATGGGGGTATTGAGGTCGGGGGTTCATGACAAGTGATCAGGGTTCATGGACTGAGTTTGGGATTGACAAGATCTGGGATCATCACTGGCCCCCGTGCATCGAGGTCATAGATTTACGTCCAAGCCTGATCTATGAGCGAAGATATAGAGGCATAAATGTCCAGGTGTCTTTCTACGTGTCGAGCGTTTGATGGGATGTTAGAGAGCGACCTCAGATGGCCGCCACATGTAATGTCAGAGCACGACCTTAGATGCTCGCCACGTGTCTTGGTCCAAGGGTTGAGATTGCATGACCATTGGTATCCCACAATCCCCTATAAATATCCCAACTTTCACCCCCATTTTCCACTTTTCACTCTCATCTCTATAAATCGAGCTCTAGTTCGGGGATTAGTGGGTTTGTGAGCGACCATCCATAGAGGTAAGAGTTCGAGCCCTTAAGTTGTTTTATTTGATTATACTATAATGTCAAGTAGTGGTAGTACTGGGTCTAGTAACAGTGACTGTAGCCAGGTGCCTAAAGACTCAAACTATAGTGATAGGCCTGAAGATGTAGATACATCTATCATTCCTATGGCCATCCCCGTTAATTCCCATATTGACGACTTGATATATCCCAAAGAGCCGACCAAGTACAAAGAACATGTGATTATTAAAATAGCTAGAGAGTTCGAGATCATGCCAATTTGTGACATTAGAACTCCAGGCCAACTGAGACCGTGTTAGGAGCTCGGGAGGGGGAGATGACCTTTTTTAGGGACGCTCTTAAGGCCGGGCTTAGGTGGCCTTTTTACCCATTTTTCCTCCATTTTCTGACCTCATACTACCTGAGTTCGGGTCAACTAGCCCCAAACGGTTGGAGGTCATTAGTGTATTTCTTCATACTGTGTAGGTGCCTCGAGGTTGAACCTAAGGTCGACCTACTTCTAATGGTTTTTTATATGAAATTCTCCTCGGGATATATCTATTTTGTTTATTTATCCACCAAGGGGGGTTTAGAACTCCCGAGACCCTGAACTCACTCAGGGGTTGGAATGAACGTTTCTTTTTTGTGAAACCTCAAGACCCCGACCATCATTTTAGCCCAAAGTGGGAAATCCCTGATAAGGATAGGTTCAACGAAAGTCAGGCTTATTTCGAGGTTTTAGAGAGAGATAGGTTGAGGTTAGTGAACCACGATCCCCTTGCAGACAAGATCGATTACTTGCTCGAAGACGACACCCTCGACCTTGCTAATGTGAAAGGCCTTGAGGATATGATCTTTCTTTTTATGTAATCTTTGCCATTTCATGTGTAAGCATCAATCTATAGTTCGAGTTAATGTCTTTGTCGTTTCTGCTTGCAGAATTCGAGATGTCTTTCGACCCGTTTGCACTGTTGGACAACGTATGTCAAAAAGTCAAGGGCTCGAAGTCTAAAGCCCTGACAAATGCCCTGTCCAAGGGGAAAAAGGGGCACGGGAGGCCGCTTGTCCAACCTTGGTGGACTTGGGGCAGAGCTTGCAAAACTCGACCCCTCCACGACAGCCAACCCCCCAACAACAAACTCGGGCTCGTACTCCTTGCTATGGGTCGGACCTCCTAGCTGATGACGACGACCCTATGCCCACCAAGTCGCTCGAGGAATACACCGATTGTGCTCTTATCCTGGGCATAGTTGACAAGTATGAGAAGGAGGTCAACATGAACGAAGGGGTTCGAACTCTCGAGCTCCTTACACTGAAAGTTTGCTTTTAATATGAATGCTTCTGGTACCCTCAACAGGTTTCTTCATTCGTACTAACGTCGAGTTCCATACTTGTTTTTGCAGACACTAAGCGTAGCTCAGGGTCTGGGGCTCAAGGGCTTGAATTCCTCAGATCATATAGCCGAGCTCGAGGCTAAGAGCGAGGTTACGCTTAAGAGGGCCCAGGAGCTTGAAAGGGCCTTGGAGGCGGCCAAGGTGGACCTTAAGAAGGCCAAGGACGAGGTCGAGTTGGCAAGGAAAGAAGCCGAGGGGGCGAAGCTCGAGCTCATTCAGTCCCGAAGCTCTTTTGAGGTGGAGCTTGTGAATGCTCGAGCAGAGACCCGGGCTCAAGCCGTCGATGAGTTCAAGAAGTCCGATGAGTTCAAGACTCTCCTGGGCCAATACGGGTCTGGCTTGTATTACTATGGATTGCGGCTAGCTCGTTCATTCCTCAGGACCAAGTTCCCCAAAGATTTAAAGCCAGTGGTCGAGGAGCTAAAGACTGTGAACGAGCTTGCAAAAGACCTCGAGCTCTCTTCTTCTGAGGACGATGGGGATGATGATGATGATGATGATGATGATGCTAGGACCCTCGACAATGGAGGCGGGAGCGACCCCGTCGATCTAGATTAGGCCCCTTTCTCGACCCTGAGATAGATATTTTTGTAACTTTTCTTTTTTGCTCATGTATTTTGCTCGATATGGGTTTATGAACTTCTTATGAACTTGATTAAATGCAAAGTTTATTGCCCGAACTGGGCTTCCATCTTTGAGAGGCTTTTCATTATCAGTTTATGCATTTTATTTTTCCTACGAGATCGTACGTTGATTTTGTGTTCGTGTGTGAACATTATAATTTTGAATTCGAGCTATTATAATAGTTTAGAGTTCAGTTGTTAGTGTAGATCACATATCGCAATCATTTAGCTCATAGCTCGAGTGTGTGTAAGAGTTCGGGGGTATTGCCTATCTTAACAATATTTATCTTTGAAACTATGGACACATCGATCCTTTAAATAACACTGATTGTGGGACGTCAATTTCAAAGTTCGAGGGTGTATTGTTGTGTTTGGGGACAACTAGTTTGTGTACTAGTGTTGGGTACTGATTTTTTAATTTGTTTATATCGAGTGGCGACCAATGGGTCGATGATGAATTGAAGAAAAGGTCGGGCTTGTCCCTTGTAATTTAATCATCACTCCATATCGAGAGGGTGACCAATGGGCCGCTTATTCTTTTTTAGGGTAAAGTCGGGCTAGGTTACATGGGACAGTTACATCATGCCCCCGATCTCGACCTCATATTTCTTGGTTGGGTGATCATTTGGGATCGATAAGGTCGGGGCTTATATGCCCCGACCTGTTTGCTATTTAAGGTCATGTGATTGGTTCTATTGGTCGAGTGTTAGCTGCATGCGTGAAGCACGGCCTTACACTAATTTGTCAAGGTACTAGCTGCATACGCGGAGCACGACCTTATGCTAATTTTGTAAAGGTATTAGCTACATATGCGGAGTACGACCTTATGCTAATTTGGTAACGGTATTAGCTGTAGGCGCGGAGCACGACCTTACGCTAATTTTGTAAAGGTATTAGCTGCATGCACGAAGCACGGCCTTACGCTAATTTTGTTAATAGCGAAGCAACGCAATAAAGAAATTTTCATGTGTTATTAAAAGGGCTCAAGGGTGTTGATACCTGAGCTTATTTGAGCATGAGCTGTCAAGGCTTTAGAGCCCGAAAAGTAAAAATGAAATTAAGCAAACATAAAGCAAGCATGCAAGCCCTAAAAGAGAAAATTATAATTATAGCTATAGCTAGTCACTTGTAGTATATTTTCAGAGTATAGTGGTTTCCCCGATGTGTCTCTGAGGCTATAGGCTCCACCTTTAAGTTTTCTTATGACCTTGAAGGGTTCCTCCCATGTTGGTCCCAGCTTCCCTAGTTAATGTCCGGCGGCTTCTGCTTTTCTAAGGACAAGATCGCCAGCTCTGAACCTCTTCGTCTGGACGTTGCTGTTGAAGTGCTTCGTCGTCCTGTTCTGATAACTTGCAGCCCTAAGTGAGGCTTGCTCCCTTACCTCTTTAAGCAGGTCAAGGTGCTCAGTAGTTTGTCAATCCCTATTTGTCTCAAGCTTTCTTATTGTGGGAAGGCTAACCTCGATTGGGATGGTAGCCTCAAGTCCAAAAGCAAGCATGAAGGGCATTTCATCAGTTGTTGCCTTGTGTGAAGTCCTATATGCCCATAGTATCGAAGGAAGTTCATTAGGCCAGTCACCTTTGGCGTCCCCTATCCTTGTTCGAAGTTCCTGCAATATGATCTGATTAGTTACTTCGGTGAGCCCATTACTTTGCGGGTGTGATACCGAGGTCAAGTGATGATCGATCCCATTGTTGGCGCAGAAGTTCATGAACTGAGGACTGTCGAATTGCCTTCCGTTATCTGTGATGAGGACTTTTGGTATCCCGAACCGGCATATGACGGACTTCCATATGAATGACATGAGCTTCGGCTCCGAAATTGTCGCTACTGGTTCGACTTCTACCCACTTTGAGAAATACGTCACTGCCACAGCTACAAATTTTAATTATCCTCGAGCCAAGGGGAATGGTCCAAGAATATCAACTCCCCACTATTCGAAAGGAGCTGAGTAGTGAATGGATGTTAGTTCCTCAGTAGGAGCATGTATGATATGGCCAAACTTTTGGCACTTGTTGCACTTCTAGACATAATCTGTGGCATTTTTCTTCAAACTTGGCCAGTAGTATTCATACCTTATCAACTTATACACAAGAGCTCGGGCTCCCTGGAGATTTCCACAAATGCCTTCATGAACTTCAGTCATTGCTTGAAGAGACTCGGAAGGTTTGAGATATCTTAGATATGGGACTGTGAAACTCCTGTGGAACAGGACTCCTTTAATTATACAATACCTAGCAGCTCTATACCGAATGCTTCTAGCAAGCCGAGGGTCTGCAGGTATGTTGCCATTACTTATGTAATCAACTATTGGATCCATCCAGAAGGGCTCATGGTCGATGTCCATGACACTTGGCTTTTGAGCTATGCTGGGTTCTGTAACTATCTTGATGTGCACGGTTCTATCGAGCCTGTTCAAACCTATGAAGACGAGTCTGGATAATGCATCAGCTTTGGCATTTTCGGCTCTAGCTACCTTCAGAATTTCACAACTTACGAACTACCTCTAGAGGTCATGTACTTTCAAACAGTATAAGCTCATCTTTTCGTCCTTTCTTTTGAAAGACCCCTCGATTTGCCCGACAACTAGCTGTGAGTCACTGAAAACTTTGACACGCTCACACTCAAGATTTTTCGCGAGTTCCAGGGCTATGACAATGGCTTCATACTCTGCTTTGTTATCGGTAGCCTCGAGTTCAAATCTGAGAGCACACTGTATCTCTGTAGTCTTGTCCGGACTTGTGATGATGATGCCGACCCCCGAGCCCGACCTATTGGATGCTCTATCAACAAAAATCTCCCATGTTTCCAAGGTCATGCTCACCTTTGGCCAGTGTTTCTGAGGATCTCGAAGTAAGCTCTGCTATGAAGTCGGCCAAAGCTTGGGCCTTGATTGCAGGTCGTGGTTTGAACTCTATGTCAAATTCACCGAGTTCAATTGCCCATATCAGCAGTCTTCTTGAGACGTCCGGCTTCTGGAGTATGTGTCTAAGAGGTTGGTTAGTGAGCACAACAATTGGATGTGACTGAAAGTACGGCCATAATTTTCTGGCAGCTATTACCAAAGTAAGGGCGAGCTGTTCTGCAAGCGTGTATCGTGTTTCTGCATCGAGGAGCACTTTACTTACAAGTAAACAGGTTGCTGAAATCTTCCTTTTTCCTTTACCAAGACACTGCTTACTGCATTCTCAGAAACGGCCAAGTATAATGGCAGGGTGTCACCGAGTTCGGGTTTCATAAGTACTGGAGACGTTAATAATGTCTGTTTGAGTTCCAGAAAAGCTAAGTTACATTCTTCGTTCCAGTCGAACCCTTTATTCCCGTAAGTAGTTTGAAAAATGAGAAACACTTGTCCGCTGCCCAGGAAACAAACCTGTTCAGTGCTGCTACGCGACCTGTCAACTTCTGAATGTCCATTTTGCACTTAGGGGTCTCCATACTTATTACAGCTTGGATTTTATCAGGATTTGTCTCTATTCCTCTATGCGTGATCATAAAACCCAAGAATTTTCCAAATGCCACCCTAAACGCACACTTTGCCAGGTTGAGATTCATGTTGTACCTCCGTAACGTAGCAAACACTTCCTCTAGATCAGAAACTTGACTATTTAGCTGTTTGCTCTTAACCACCATATCATCCACATATGCTTCGACCGTTTTTCGAATTAACTTGGCGAAGATCTTGTTTACCAACCTTTGATATGTTACTCCAACATTCTTCGGTCCAAAGGGCATGACCTATAGCAATAGATGGCTAAATTTGCCATGAATGAGGTCTTCTCTTGATCTCTTTCCACCATGAGAATTTGGTGATACCCCGAGAAAGTATCCAAGAAGCTGTATAGCATATGACCTGACGTACTGTCTACCAAATTGTAAATTCGAGGTAGAGAATAACTGTTTTTGGGGCATGCTTTATTCAAATCTGTGAAGTCAGTGCAAACTCGCCAATTTCCATTAGCTTTCTTGACAAGAACCACGTTGGCCAGCCACTCGGGATATTGTACTTCTCGAATGAACTGTGCGTTAACAAGTTTAGCGATCTCCTCCTTTATGACTTCTCGTCTTCTGGTGCAAACAGTCTCTTCCTTTGCTTTACAGGTCTTGCTTCCGGATTTATGTTAAGTCTATATACTGCAACCTTTGGATTAATTCCAGGCATGTCCTCGACATTCCAAGCAAATACATCAATGTTGCGGGAGAGACAACTTAGCAGTTCAGACATGATCGCTGTATCTAGCCCCCGACCAATTTTCACTTTTCTTCCAAGCTCGATCTCGACCTCTTCCAATCCTTCCACCGGAGCCAGTCTCCTGTGATTTTCATGCTCGAGCTCGAGCTCTATAACTTGCATGACGTCGTTCTTGATTTTTCGAACGCTAGTCACATAACACTGTCGGGGCACTGATTGGTTGGCTCGGACTACCCCAATTTCATTAGTAGTTGGGAATTTCATAGCCAAGTGGAAAGTTGAGACAATAGCTCGAATTCTGTTGAACAATGGTCTTCCCAGTATGGCGTTGTAAGCTATCGGCGTACGGACAACTTCAAAGGTAGTGATTTGTGTCTTTACCTTCTGTCCCCAATGTTAAGGGCAACCCGACGATACCTTTCGGGGTGATGACCCCACCTCCAAATCTTTGGAGGGGTGTTTTGACTGGCTTGAGCTGTTCTGATGAGATCCCCATTTGAACAAAGGCTTCATGAGACAGTACGTTTGCTGCACTTCCGTTACTTACTAGAACTCTCTTGACTTCAAAGTTCACGATGATGGCCAATATGACCAGAGCATCATCATGAGGGAATGCTATGCCTTCCAAGTCCTCCATTCCAAAAGTGATGTCCTCTGCACGGCCAAAATTTGGTCTTGAGATGTTTGGAGGCTGCCCGACATACTATTTACGCCCGCTGCTAGAATCTCCTCCCGAGGCTGTTCCTTCGACAATGATATTGATAGTATTGGCAGATGGTTGCCTGTTTCCCCGACCCTCTAGGCCTTTGCCTCCGTTCTGATTATCCCTTAGGCACTTGTCATTGCTAATGTAAGAGCCCAAAAATCTCATTTTTATAAGAGCTTCAATATTCGCTTCAAGGCCAAACAGTCTTCCGTTGTATATCCGTGATCTCTATGGAAATCACAGTACTTACTCTTGTCACGAGTATCGGGAAGAGACCGCAATCTGGGAGGCCACTTCAGTTCCCTCGAGTCCTTGATTTCCATCAAAATGTTAGACCTTAAGGTGTTCAAATGGGTAAAAGATGTTGAGGGTGGGTCCTTCCTTGGCTAGACCCTAGGTATATCTTGTCTCAAGCTGGACTCATGCGGACTTTTCTGATCCAACCTTCCAGATGAGGAAACTTATCTTTTTGGGGCCATGGTTTCCTCGATATTGATGTACTTCTCAGCTCATGTGAGTAGCTCGGTGACTGACTTCGACGGGGTCTTAGACAAGGACATCTTGAATGCTTCGCACTTAATGGCGTATGTCAGTGCCGAGACTGCAACGGTGATATGTAGATCGGGGATCTGAAGCCTTTCTTTATTGAACCTGGTCATGAAACTGCGCATTGTTTTGTTGGGTCCTTAACGCATCTGTATGAGTGATGTGGCTGTCTTTTTGATTCGTTTGCTGCTTGCAAAGAAAGTGGAGAACTTATCGGCCAAATCTGAGAAGGAGGCACTAGAGTTCAGTTCCAATGTGGAAAATCAATCTCTAGCTGCGTTTGTGAGGGTTTGGGGGAATGCCTTGCACATTACTGCATCAGGTGAAACCTGTAAGTTCATGATATTCGTGTACACATTGAGATGATTGATGGGGTCGGTTGTCTCATCGTACTCCTTTATCCGAGGATATTTGAACCTATCGGGGAGGGGATGCGAGAGGACTTCTGGAGTGAATGGCGTATTGGGGATGAACCCTGTTGCTGCCCGAGTATTTTGTTGCATACCTGCTGCTATCCCTTCTTGAATAATTCTAGAGAGTTCAATGGAGTCCATTGTAACGGACCTTGAACCTGAAGCCACTGTGGTGCGCCTGAAATTCCAACCCCACCTTCATCATGGGCTGTGCAACGGACTCGAGCCCGGGTATCTGCCATAAAGCCACCTTCAAGGGTTGGGGTATGCGACGGGTGCGAATTTCTCTGGCTTAACAATTGGGTTAATGTAGCCACCTGCTGGCGAAGTTCCTCAAAAGCTCCAGCGAAAATGACAGCTTGAGGAGGTGCTGGCATCTCCAACGATTCTTCTTGAGGGATATGGCGTTCCTCAGGAGGAGGAGGGTTATCTGGAACGGATGAGCTTGTTGGAGAAATACCTGAACGTGTATTGACCATGGCTTTTGGTAGCGATTCCCACAGACGGCGCTAATGATGCTACCAAAAAAATACTATTTGAAAGAACTCGAACTTGATGATCGAACTTCGAAATTTGATGAACACGAACAATCTTTGAATACCTGCAACAAAGGCAACGAGGTGTGTGCTCGTCACCCCTCCGATACTTAAATCAGAAAGAGAATTATATGCATGAGGCTATAAACTGGAGATAATGAAAAATGTACCTCAAAAATGAGCACAAATTGTGTATTTATAGGTGTTAATGATGGAGTCTTAGAAGGACTTATTCTTTTGCGGTCCTTATCCTCGTAGGATAAGTAGTTAGTGTTTTATTCCAAGTGTTCAAACATTGTTTGAATCGAAGAAGGAGTCTAATAAGATAAGGGTTGTGGTCAAAGTAGGATTAGTGTTCTCATAGATCGTATAGAAGGGCTGATGAGTCGAAATGCATACCCCGACCTCAAATGCCCGACCTTGTTTTGGTAGTTTTATGGGATATTGAGGTCCGGGTTCATGACAAGTGATCGAGGTTCATGGACCAAGTTCAGGATTGACAAGATCTGGGATCATCAAGAATAAATGATAAATTTAGTTCAAAATAAAAATTAATAACGTGAACGTGGAATGTTTTAATTTATATTCATTTAAATATTTTTAAATATTTTTTATGTAAATAATTATTAAGAGCTTGAACTACCTTTATTTTTTTATAATTTTTATCTTTCTAGAATTTTTAATAATTTTATTTTTTTTTCAGAATTTTTATTTATATTTTTTGAAATTTTTTTTTTAGAATTTACTATTTCAAATTTTTATTTAATTTTTTCAAATTTTAATTTTAATTTTTAAAATTGAATTTTGTTTAAACGCTCGTATTCCATAATTTTGGTGCTGTCAAAATTTACACTGAAAACACTCAAAATGTCAAAAATGTATTTTGAGTTTTATCTTATAATTTTTATCTTATTTTCGAAAATGCCTTTTTAGAAATAACAGACAAACACGTTTTCAATATTTTGTAAAATTGAAAATAACTTAAAAACAGTAAACAAAATGCATCTTAAGTGTTTTAAAAATCTCAATTCACAACTTCTAAGAATTATTATAAAAAAATATTTTCATTTAATTGACAATTTTCATATAAAATAAAGTCAAACGAACACCAAAAGATAGATAATTTTTTTGAATTTTTATTTTTTATTTTTTTAGCAATGGAAATAAATTTCATCTCCAACACAGTAAATTTTATCCCTTTAATTGACAATTTTCATGTAAAATAAAGTCAAACGAACATAAAAAACACTTTTATTTCAACATTTTTCACGTGAAATTTTATACTAATCAAACACAATAAATTACAATTCCTATGAAAATAATTTTTAGACAATTCAATTCCCTAAAATTCGTTTTCAGTTCAATTCAATTTCATCTTTACAATAAAATAGACCCCAAGAGTTACATGTATTTCTTTCAAAATAAGATATAATTGAAATTCTAAATAATAATAATAATTATTATTATTATTATTATTATTATTATTATTATTATTATTATTATTATTATTATTATTATTATTATAAAAACTATTTTACATATTTACCCCCTCTACCATCTCCCCTTCTAAATATTAATTATTTCCCAATCTCTCCTTTAGTCTAGGATAATTTTCAAAATGACCGAGACAAATCACTTAACCTTTTCAATTGATAAAAGGTCTAAATTAGCCTTAATGAATTCAAATAAGTATATTGCAGAATTAGTCCTATCTTTCAAGTTTATCTTGTATTCCTTCTATTTTGAATATCAAAATATAAATCCATTCTATGGTCTAATAAATTAGAATAATTTATAACATATTGTTTGTATGTTTTTTTAAGTCTATTAAATTCTTCAGATAGTATATTAATATTTTCTAACTGAGAAGTAATATTATTTATATTTTCTAACAAATTTTTTTTATAAATTATCTAATCCTTTAATAGTATATCCTGGCATCAAACTATCAATATTATGATAAATAATCCCTAAGTTTTTCTTCTAAGGCTATGAATAAAAGTCATAAGAACTTCATAAATAACATGAGTGCAACAATTAATGCAAGTATTTGATATAAATAAGAAAGATCTTACAGTATTGAAGCAAAAGATAAAGACAGAGTAATATCAATGAGATTTCCCTTGAGCTTGCACCCATATGTTAATATACTCATATATAAGTGATCGGTGCTATTTGAATTTAAGAAAGTGGGTTATGGTCCAACATGACTTCCGCACATAATTTTTTTTTCTCTCTGACCCTTTTGCATATTTCACAATGGATCACACGGAATCACAGTTTTCCTTTCAACTCCTTATTAAAACATCACCTTGAATGGTAACAGAGTTCTCAATGCTTTCTCAATAATGCTAAAAACACCTACACACGGTAAAACAGCAACAAGATACTTGCACTGACCCTCAAGGTTTTCACCGTTGGAGTATAAGTAAGAAAAGAGTTTTTGAGAAAGTAATAAGGATGAGAAAACACCCTTTTCAAATAACTTTCATAAACACATCACACTAATAGCTCTCATATAAGAGTACATATACATACTTCGGCTACACACTTGGTACTTTCTATAAGGAAATTAGAACTCTATAGAGATTACCTTATTACACACTTCACTTCAAAGAAAAAAAAAATTGAAATTGTTACAAGACTTGGAATACAAGGTAGAAAGATAAATTTTTGATATTTTGACTCCCCCGCCCTCTTAAGAACTAGTCTTCAATTTATAGACTAGAAAAAGCTCCACAGTTGTCATTCATTATTGTTGCTTTAACTGTGTAAGATATTGAGTATCTTACTATGGCCTAAAGTTTTCTTGTCGTAATCTGAAAATAATTGAGGTAAACCCACAGTTTTTTTTATCAAAATGATTTTGATAAAGCAGTGATAAAGGGGTCCCTTACTTTTCTATATATGACTCAAACCACTCTTCCGAAAATTCTGATGGGTCAAGAGAGATTGGTGAGATGTCGCCTTCAGTGCAACAACACTCTCACTTATGATTAGGATAACATCAAAATTGTTTGCATAACTCTTCTTTTGTTTTCTGTGTCTCACAAGCTTGTCCTTTAAAGATATGATCACACCATGTGTCGAGATAGTGTCAATCTTCTTGTTTAGTGGGTGCAATAGCTTTACTGTAAATCATGTAAACTTGTGACTCGTAAACCCAAATATATTGTTTTTCTTCAATAACCTTTTGGATATGCTCGAACTGCTCTTTATATCCTTTGGCTCTACGGAAAGCTATCATCTTGATAGTGTCTTCTGGTATAGTTTCATGAACTTCACTTTTCTTAGGCTGGAAATGCTTAGAAGTGGTAGATATTCTTATGACATGGCGTACTGGAAGCAACTTATCTTCTTCATCTTCTCATTCAGAACAAGCAAAGAAAAACCTAATATAAATATTCTTGTGTTTAAGAACTTAACAATATCTTTCAATAACTCGGACAACATCCTTTGGCAGCATAGAAATTTCTTTTAATGATTCAGACAGGTAAATACAAATTATGTTTCTCACATTTCATAAAGAGTGCGAACTCAATAAGGTGGGGCTCCTGGATAGAGATTAACTTTGTTATAAGTTCCATACATTAGAGTTTTCATCCATCCTCCTATACTGGTGAACCAGCAACATGCAAGATTGAACAATACGTATATTAAAATAAAATCATCTTTATTTTTTATATACATAACACCAGGGGTGTTGCAGGCTTTGATAATATTTGAGCGATTTAGCTCTGGTATAGAGATACTATCATTTGTATAAATTTTCTCCGATGAGGGAGATAAAGTAGTATTCTTCTTGACAGATTGATTATGAAGCTTTAA